TCAATTAAATAAAAAAAAAAGTTAAGGGGCCAAATGTTACCAATCCGTTTTGAGCAGCTTTGCTGGCCAAGGACAAAGTTCATGTCAGAGCCAGGACCTCTTGAGTCCCCATCCACTGGCTTAATTACAAAACCTCCTTCTGCCTTATGCCAGTAAGTAAGTTAAACAGATGTGAAATTCACTCCTCTGCAGATGGTTAGCAGAATGCCCCAGCATTTCTATTAACCCCATGGGCTTAAGTGGCATATAGGTCTCTTTGCTGGCCCTCTGCATGGGGGTAGGAAGCAAATGACATGGTATCTGCTATGGATTTAGTTTTTCTTCATTTGAATCACTTTTCTGAGACCAGCCAATGCAAAGTTGCATCATTTAGTTCCCATCTGTTGCATTTTTGGTAACAAAATATCAGTGTCACCATGACTTTTCCCAACACCTAGTAAATGATGTGGTGAAGAACACAGTTTTCCAGAGTTAAGGTGAAAGGTTTTTAAGCATTTCACATGGTGTGCATGGTATCTGTTGGCAGCCTGCACCCAGAAGAGTTTATACACACACTGCAGGGGAAACAGGATGTCTCTGTCCCCAGAGTCTTCCCAGAATGGGGGACCCTGCATCACCCTCTTTGAGAGGGAACCAGGGAGGATATCCTGCCCAATTATATCTCCCCGTCTCCCTCCTGGCAACAAACCAAAAGGGGTGGAGGCAGGCAGGTGACTATCACATCCACTCCTCAGTGGGAGTAGAAGAGGCAGCTTATTTCAGCCCAGCCAGACCTGAGCTTCCAGGGACAATCTTTCTTCCCCTTGCAGCAGCCTGCTTTCATCCCTTTGAGAGTAGGAGTTCCTGCCTTCTCCCCCGTGTGGCGCGACAATGGTAAAGAATCACAGAAAGAGTCGCTTTCTTCTAACTCTGAACAAGGAACCCGATTAGAATTTAAAACAAACTGTATTATTACTAATACTACTCGCTCTCTTTCTGCTGTGTTGCACTGCTTCTGTCTGTAACTTTCCCCAGTTCCTCTCTTACCTAGCTTCGTGCTACAACCTGAAAGAAACAATACAAATAGCCTCACAAACTGCAAGTCTTCTTAGGATTTGTCTTCACTGTGGTGTTAGCTCAAGGTATAACTCAAGTGCTGTCCCTAATCCAATTTCTGTCCACACACAAAAATCTCTAGCTTAAGTTCAGTGGCATTTAGCAGCATGGACATTGTGGCTTCAGCGGAGTCTTGGGCTAGTCACCTTATCTCAAGCCTGGGAGGGATTGGATGAGCTTGAGCTCAGGTGACTAGTCAAGTCTCTGCCCAAGCCACAACATCCACCCTGTTATTATTAGCAGGCTAGCTTGAGCCCCACTTAGGGTTGCCAACTTTCTACTCACACAAAACCTAACACATTTGCCCAACCCCCTGCCCCATCTCTCCTCCAAGGCCCCACTCCCGCTCACTCCATTCCCCCCTCCCTCTGTTGCTCACTCTCCCCCACCCTCACTCGCTCGCTTATTTTTACCGGGCTGGCTCAGGGGTTTGGGGTGCAGGAAGTGGTGAGGGGTCCGGATGGGGGTGTGGGCTCTGGGGTGGGGCTGGAAATTAGAAGTTCAGGGTACAGGAGGGGGCTCTGGGCTGAGCTAGTGGGTTGGGATATGGGAGGGGGTGAGGGCTCTGGCTGGGGGTGCAGGCTCTGGTGTGGGGCTGGGGATGACGGATTTGGGGTGCAGGAGGGTGCTCTGGGCTGGGGATGAGGGGTTCAGAGGGCGGGAGGGGGATCAGGGCTGTGGCAGAAAGTCGGGGCATGGGAGGGAGTGAGGGGTTCAGGCTCTTGGCAGTGCTTACTGCAGGCGGCTCTCAGAAGCAGCGGCATGTCCCCTCTCTGGCTCCTATGCGGAGGTGCGGCCAGGTTGCTCTGCATGCTGCCCCATCTGCAGGCACTGCTCCTGCAGCTCCCACTGGCAGCAGTTCCCAGCCAATGGGAGCTGCGGAGGTGGCTCTTGGGCAGTGCGCAGAGCCCCCTGGCTGCCCCAATGCCTAGGAGCCAGAGTGTGGACACGCCACTGCTTCCAGGAGCCAGGCAGAGCCTGCAGGGAGCCTGCCTTAGCCTCACTGCGCTGCTGACCAGACTTTTAACCGCCCGGTCACCTGGGCGTTCCAGTCAAAAACAGGACGCCTGGCAACCTTAGCCCCACTAGCGCCAGTCTGTCTGCCCAGGCTGGGAGGCTTGCTCTGAGCTGCAATGTACACATGCTCTCAGGCCCCAGGGGGTAGTTCAGGTTGAATCTCAAGTGCTGCTGACACTTGAGTTAGTAATGCTGTGGGGATGCAGCTATAGGCTACAGTTCCAATTAGCAAAACTCCTCATCTGCTAATCCAATCCAATCCCCCTGTGTAGCTCCAGTGTTCTTTTGCACTGTGGTCACTCTTACTTGAGCTAGGGTCACTTGAGTGGAGTAACTAAAATTAACTGTGTCAGCGAAAACCACCCCTTAGGCTGCCACTGCTATTGGAAGCAGCAGTGGCCCCACTGTCTTCAATGTAAAAGGTAACTTCTGAAGATGCGAAAAAAGGAGAAAGTCCCATAAAAGCTCAAGTCGATTCATATTTACTTCTAAGACCAAGACTGGCGTTTACTCTCTTCAGCCGTTACTCTGTAACCATGGACAGTCAGTAAAGACAAAGCATGAAGCCACTGTTACCAATCATATCGTGGATTATTTAAAAGAATTTTAGAAGCCCAGATTTTCAAACCGGCCCAACTTTGCACCTCCGGTGAACGGTGTTTGTAATTTTATGACTAAAAAAAATTCATGAACAAACCTACGCAGGCAACACTGTGCCCTCAAAGCTGGAGGCCCGGTTTGAAAATCAGGCCCTACAAATTTAATTTGCTTTTTCACCATTTATCCCATTGGTTTACTTTGCAGTAAATCCCTCATCATGGACAGGGAAACTGGGTGGGTTAGTTTTATCATCTATTTATGGTCAGTTTTAATTTCTAAAATTTCTAAAAATTCTAAAATCCAAAGTTTCCCTTTGGGTGAAATTCATTCCTGTGCAGATGGCAGAACAAGGCCTGTGCATCAATTAAGACATATTTACACTTTATTTTGATGAGTTAAGGACACATAGCGGTGCCCAGGCAGCCTACTGGCCATCAAGGGGAATTTCACCTCGAGGAGATATAATCTAGAAAGAATAAAAAAGCTTCATAAAGCAAAGTTGCCTTTTTCCTTAACACATATGTGATGGGTTTATTTTTCCCATGTCATCTATGATCTTGAATTATTTGCTTGTTAAATCTCTCTGTATAATGGTTTTCCTATAAACATACATAAACAAACACCCAACAATCATCAAGCCATGAAATCTGTTTCTGTCACTTAACAGAAGGGATATGCAGAGGGCTGACTTCCAAGTCTTGATTATCACATTATCCCTGGCTAAGAAAAACAATGAACCAACTTTATCTCTGTAAAAAAACCCCAAACAAATGGCATCACTATTCAAATGTGGGTAAATGTTTGTAGAAGAATGTATGAAAGCTGTCACTCCCTCCAAATATCCACAAGGTGGTGCTATGTAATAAAATTTAGGTGCAGAGGCTCTTACAGGACTTGAGGGTAGTCAGCAAACCAGATCCAACCTTGCTTTTCAGTATCTATTGTATCCCTATGCCAAATAACTTAGCCCTGGTCTACACTAGGACTTTAGGTCGAATTTAGCAGCGTTAAATCGATTTAAACCTGCACCCGTCCACACAATGAAGCCCTTTATTTCGACTTAAAGGGCTCTTAAAATCGATTTCCTTACTCCACCCCTGACAAGTGGATTAGCGCTTAAATCGACGTTGCCGGCTCGAATTTGGGGTACTGTGGACACAATTCGATGGTATTGGCCTCCGGGAGCTATCCCAGAGTGCTCCATTCTGACCGCTCTGGACAGCGCTCTCAACTCAGATGCACTGGCCAGGTAGACAGGAAAAGAACCGCGAACTTTTGAATCTCATTTCCTGTTTGGCCAGCGTGGCAAGCTGCAGGTGACCATGCAGAGCTCATCAGCAGAGGTGACCATGATGGAGTCCCAGAATCGCAAAAGAGCTCCAGCATGGACTGAACGGGAGGTACGGGATCTGATCGCTGTTTGGGGAGAGGAATCCGTGCTATCAGAACTCCGTTCCAGTTTTCGAAATGCCAAAACCTTTGTGAAAATCTCCCAGGGCATGAAGGACAGAGGCCATAACAGGGACCCGAAGCAGTGCCGCGTGAAACTGAAGGAGCTGAGGCAAGCCTACCAGAAAACCAGAGAGGCGAACAGCCGCTCTGGGTCAGAGCCCCAAACATGCCGCTTCTATGATGAGCTGCATGCCATTTTAGGGGGTTCAGCCACCACTACCCCAGCCGTGTTGTTTGACTCCTTCAATGGAGATGGAGGCAATACAGAAGTAGGTTTTGGGGACGAAGAAGATGATGATGAGGAGGTTGTAGATAGCTCACAGCAAGCAAGCGGAGAAACCGGTTTTCCCGACAGCCAGGAACTGTTTCTCACCCTAGACCTGGAGCCAGTACCCCCGAACCCACCCAAGGCTGCCTCCTGGACTCAGCAGGCGGAGAAGGGACCTCTGGTGAGTGTACCTTTTAAAATGCTATACATGGTTTAAAAGCAAGCATGTGAAAGGATTACTTTGCCCTGGCATTTGCGGTTCTGCCTTTGCAAAAGGTTTCTGGGGAGGGCAGCCTTATTTCGTCCTTCATGGTAGGACACTTTACCACTCCAGGCCAGCAACACGTACTGGGGAATCACTGTAGAACAAAGCATTGCAGTGTATGTTTGCTGGCATTCAACCAAAATCCGTTCACGCGGTGGGAGGAGGCAAAATGCGACCTTGTAACGAAAGCACATGTGCTATGTATGTAATGTTAACAGCAAGGTTTACCCTGAAAGAGTGTAGCGACTGTTTTATAAAATGTGTCTTTTTAAATACCGCTGTCCCTTTTTTTTTCTCCACCAGCTGCATGTGTTTCAATGATCACAGGATCTTCTCCTTCCCAGAGGCTAGTGAAGCTTAGAAAGAAAAAAAAACGCACTCGCGATGAAATGTTCTCTGAGCTCATGCTGTCCTCCCACACTGACAGAGCACAGACGAATGCGTGGAGGCAAATAATGTCAGAGTGCAGGAAAGCACAAAATGACCGGGAGGAGAGGTGGAGGGCTGAAGAGAGTAAGTGGCGGGCTGAAGAGAGTAAGTGGCGGGCTGAAGAGAGTAAGTGGCGGGCTGAAGACAGGGCTGAAGCTCAAAGGTGGCGGCAGCGTGATGAGAGGAGGCAGGATTCAATGCTGAGGCTGCTGCAGGACCAAACCAGTATGCTCCAGTGTATGGTTGAGCTGCAGCAAAGGCAGCTGGAGCACAGACTGCCACTGCAGCCCCTCTGTAACCAACCGCCCTCCTCCCCAAGTTCCATAGCCTCCACACCCAGACGCCCAAGAACGCGGTGGGGGGGCCTCCGGCCAACCAGCCACTCCCCCACAGAGGATTGCCCAAAAAAAAGAAGGCTGTCATTCAATAAATTTTAAAGTTGTAAACTTTTAAAGTGCTGTGCTTAAAGTGCTGTGTGGCATTTTCCTTCCCTCCTCCACCACCCCTCCTGGGATACCTTGGTAGTCATCCCCCTATTTGTGTGATGAATGAATAACGAATGCATGACTGTGAAGCAGCAATGACTTTATTGGCTCTGCAAGCAATGATTAAAGGGAGGAGGGGAGGGTGGTTAGCTTACAGGGAAATAGAGTGAACCAAGGGGTGGGGGGGTTCATCAAGGAGAAACAAACAGAACTTTCACACCGTAGCCTGACCAGTCATGAAACTGGTTTTCAAAGCTTCTCTGATGCGTACCGCGCCCTCCTGTGCTCTTCTAACCGCCCTGGTGTCTGGCTGCGCGTAACCAGCAGCCAGGCGATTTGCCTCAACCTCCCACCCCGCCATAAACGTCTCCCCCTTACTCTCACAGATATTGTGGAGCACACAGCAAGCAGTAATAACAGTGGGAATATTGGTTTCGCTGAGGTCTAAGCGAGTCAATAAACTGCGCCAGCGCGCCTTTAAACATCCAAATGCACATTCTACCACCATTCTGCACTTGCTCAGCCTGTAGTTGAACAGCTCCTGACCACTGTCCAGGCTGCCTGTGTACGGCTTCATGAGCCATGGCATTAAGGGGTAGGCTGGGTCCCCAAGGATACATATAGGCATTTCAACATCCCCAACAGTTATTTTCTGGTCTGGGAATAAAGTCCCTTCCTGCAGCTTTTGAAACAGACCAGAGTTCCTGAAGATGCGAGCATCATGCACCTTTCCCGGCCATCCCACGTTGATGTTGGTGAAACGTCCCTTGTGATCCACCAGAGCTTGCAGCACTATTGAAAAGTACCCCTTGCGGTTTATGTACTCGCCGGCTTGGTGCTCCGGTGCCAAGATAGGGATATGGGTTCCGTCTATAGCCCCACCACAGTTAGGGAATCCCAGTGCAGCAAAGCCATCCACTATGACCTGCACATTTCCCAGGGTCACTACCCTTGATATCAGCAGATCTTTGATTGCGTGGGCTACTTGCATCACAGCAGCCCCCACAGTAGATTTGCCCACTCCAAATTGATTCCCAACTGACCGGTAGCTGTCTGGCGTTGCAAGCTTCCACAGGGCTATCGCCACTCGCTTCTCAACTGTGAGGGCTGCTCTCATCTTGGTATTCATGCGCCTCAGGGCAGGGGAAAGCAAGTCACAAAGTTCCATGAAAGTGCCCTTACGCATGCGAAAGTTTCGTAGCCACTGGGAATCGTCCCAGACCTGCAACACTATGCGGTCCCACCAGTCTGTGCTTGTTTCCCGAGCCCAGAATCGGCGTTCCACAGCATGAACCTGCCCCATTAGCACCATGATGCATGCATTGTCAGGGCCCATGCTTTCAGAGAAATCTGTGTCCATGTCCTGATCACTCACGGGACCGCGCTGACGTCGCCTCCTCGCCCGGTATCGCGTTGCCATGTTCTGGTGCTGCATATACTGCTGAATAATGCGTGTGGTGGTTAATGTGCTCCTAATTGCCAAAGTGAGCTGAGCAGGCTCCATGCTTGCCGTGGTATGGCGTCCGCACAGAAAAAAGGCGCGGAACGATTGTCTGCCGTTGCTCTGACGGAGGGAGGGGCGACTGACGACACGGCTTACAGGGTTGGCTTCAGGGAGCTAAAATCAACAAAGGGGGTGCCTGTACATCAAGGAGTCTTTCAGGCAGGACTGCACGGAGGGTTCCAATAAGAAATGGTGCACCTAAGTTATCGTTGTTATTGGAACAAGGAGGTTAGCCTGGCCTCTGATTGATACATGGCTAGATTTACCTCGCTGCACCTTCTCTGTGAGTGACTGCAGTGTGACCTAGAGGAATGAGTCCCCTAGACAGGGGAGGAGGCAAATGAGTACAAAACAAATCTGGTCTATTTCTTGTTTTGACCCACTCCATCTATCTTTTACATCTTTGGCTGGCAGCAGACGGTGCAGAAGGACTGCATGCCATCCACATCTCATGGCTGCTCGGCAGAAGATGGTACAGTACGACTGCTAGCCATCCCCATCTCTTGCCTGCCTGGCAGAAGATGGTGCAAAATGTAGCAATCCTCATCTCTTGCCTGCCTGGCAGAAGATGGTACAGTACGACTGCTAGCAGTCCGTATCGCCTGCCTGCTCACCATAAGACGGTTCAATAGGACTGACTGCAGGACTAAAGAGAATGACCTGGTCAAGTCACTCCAAATTTAGTCCCTGCGCCCATGTCTGCCCAGGCGCTCCCAGCCGACGCGGCCAGGAGCACCTCGGACACGATGAGGACGACTACCAATCGTATTGCACCGTCTGCTGCCAGAAGGCAAGGGGTTGCTGCTACTGTGCAGCAAAGCCGTACCGCGTCTGCCAGCACCCAGGAGACATAGGGTGACGGTTACCTGAGCGGGCTCCATGCTTGCTGTGGTATGGCGTCTGCACAGGTAACTCAGGAAAAAAGGCGCGAAATGATTGTCTGCCCTTGCTTTCACGGGGGGAGGGAGGGAACGGGAGGCTGACGATATGTACCCAGAACCACCCGCGACAATGTTTTAGCCCCATCAGGCATTGGGATCTCAACCCAGAATTCCAATGGGCAGCGGAGACTGCGGGAACTGTGGGATAGCTACCCACAGTGCAACGCTCCGGAAGTCGACGCTTGCCTCGGTACTGTGGAAGCGCTCCGCCGAGTTAATGCACTTAATGCACTTAGAGCATTTTCTGTGGGGACACACACACTCGAATTTATAAAACCGATTTCTAAAAAACCGACTTCTATAAATTCGACCTTATTCCGTAGTGTAGACATACCCTTAGTCTTACAAAAACTAATCCATCTTCTTTCTTCTTCCGGGAGTCACTCCTCCAGCAGCCCCTAGCAATTCAGTCCACAGAACCTTAAAACTCAGAGTTGGAAAAGACTGTATTCCTGTCTCCTAGCCAATGAAAGATTGTTCCTTATTGAATGTCCCAAGCAATGGGTCTTCTACTACTTTCCTTCAGGTAGGATTCCACAGTTAATAGAGCTCAGTCTCAGCCTGGAGTCATCCACCATCAGGATATTGCTAAATTATATTTGTCAGAGACAACTTTTATCTCTGGGACTTCATAAAATACTTCCAAAAAGCTAGTTTGTTTCCTTTGGAATGGACTAGATTGCATCAAGTGGCAGCGATTTAATAAAATGCTTTTCTGTCAAGGATACCTTTCCTGCCTGCCCCAACTTCATATGCAAGATGAACACTGTGCTGTTATCAATAGACTCAGGACACTTGTCAAGAATTAAGTCCATCTACACATTTCCAGCAAATGCACTTAATAAAGATTTGTTTGCCGGGGATGCGGCTTTTTGACTTGGTTAAACAAATGAATCAGTTCTCTAGCAGAGGTGTAGTGATGCTGGGGAGATCGGGAGCATCACTCTGGCACCTGAAATTCAGGACAGTGGTGCTCCAGCACTTCAGAATTTCCCCCTCCCTGAGCTCACTATATCCCTTCAAGGTTTGCGCTCCTCTCCAAATCATCTGTTGCACAGTTGCCCTAGGAGATCCTGTGGGTGGGCAGGATCTGAGGGGCATAGGTGGTGGGTAGCTAGGGCTAGAGGGGCTTAGCCCCTCCCCCAAATCTGAATCACCCCGCCACTCATACACACAGCCCATCTCTGCCGCAAAGCCCCGCCTCTTTCCATGACAGCCCCAGCTTCACATTGAGCCGCCTGATTGCCCAGCAGCAGGAAAGTCAATTTCTGAAAGCACATGTATACAGAGCAAAGAGGAGAGGGGGATTTTTGTGGGAACCCCTACTTCAAATATTGGCTGGACATCACAGGTTATATTCTGTTTTAATTTTCCCTCTAGAACCGAGGCTACCAACTAACTTCACAACATAACACTCCACTGGCCCAGTCATGAACTCCTTGTGACAGTGCTCCCCATATTCTTCGGAGTGATATTATTATGATATGATTATGGCATAATTATGATGTATTTTATGCAAGATAAGTCATATGAGGTGTCATTGGAAAGGTTATGATTTACTGGATATGATTATCCTATTTGTATGCATGTATCATTTTTGTATCTGAAGTTAGGAATATTGATTATACATCTGTATTACAAATGTGTTTACACCTGGGGAACACCCACTAGGCAAAAAGATCACAGTCTAGATGGCTGGCTGGGAAGGGCCCATTTACTCTGAGCGGCCATTAGAGAAAACAGTAGGCTTTAGAAGAAGCTTATCTCCCACCTGGGGGCCTTCCTCACCATACTGCAGACAACCACAGACTGCTGTAACACTACAGGGACATGTGACCAGGTCACCTGGTGCTGGGCTCCATCTTGGGATATCAGTGTTTTTCCACTGACTGGCGTGGGAACCAAGCTTTGAAACAAATGGTTCCTGCCATATGCAAAAGCTATTTAAGGCAGGGGAGTGACATGATCAATATTCTTCCCTGACTCCCCACCCAAAGAGACTCCTGGAAACATCTGAGGAACAAAGGCTGAACTGGGGGAAGTGCTGGACCCAGGCTAAAGGGATATTTAGTCTGTGAATGGAACACCCAGGGATTCCAAGCTGTAAACCAGTGCGGCTTGCCCTTTAAGAATCTGCAGCCCGCTTGTATCATCACTTAGGGTGAGGGTTTGCTAGTCATATCCTATCTATGTAGTATATTAAGCTTAGTTTGCCTGTTTTGTTTCTTTGCTAGGTAATCTGCTTTGATCTGTTTGCTCTCACTTATAATCACTTAAAATATTTATTTTTGTAGTTAATAAAATTATGTTACGTTTTAATCCAAAGCAGTGTGCATTTGATTAAGAGCTTTGGGGAAAATCTCAGCTTGGTTACCACAAGTGTGCATGGTCCTCTTCACATTGAGGGAGGGGCAGTCAGGGTGTTAAACCCATATACTGGCCAGATTTGACCAGGTAGGATGGTACTGCTCTGGGATCCTAAGCTGGGAGGCTGCTGGTTAGAGAGCCTGCATGTAACTGCAACTGGGTGTGCCCCTATCTGTGTGAATGCTGGTGAAAGTGCAAGGTTGAGAGGGCTTTGCAA